AAGTTGTGAAAGGCTTGTATGGCACTCTTCTTCAGTCGTTTCATCTAAGGCTCGTAATTTACTTGTTCTTATATTATTAGCTAGTAGGTTTATGTTAAAACAATAAGATTACTCGTTCTCTTTTTTCATGAGTCTATTATCTATTGACTCATAGAAAACTCAACCCCGTAGTCTAATTGTTAAATATGCGATGGTTTTGAGGAATATCCCATGAGGCACTTGTATAAACACAAAAGCATTGTATAACTACATTTATATTATCCCACAACATTGAAAATACATATAGAAGAAAAGTATAGAAATTGACCTTTTGTTTTGACCTGAATTTATGCTATTCACCTTTATTTTGAATGAGCAGACTTGCTCAACCTTGCAAGGTGACTGGTTGGCCTCATTTTCTTGTGCCATCAGCCATTATGAGCAGGAAAAATGGGTAGGAAAGCCCAACAGAGCAAAGCTCTACTTCAGGAAACAATATCAGCCACTGTTGGTACTGTATTTCATTTAAACAGATCTCATGGAAATACGTTACAATATTATTTATTGCAATGACGAGAGATCTCACTGACATATATTTACATTGTTACACTTCACTGTCAAACCTATACATTGCCAATATTTTTAGCCATTAAACTTTGTCTTTTTTTTGACACCCTACTCATAAGTTATTGTACAAATAAGGCAGTTTGTCCCTTTGGCTACTAAAAAGGCCAAATCAGGCCATTACAAAATCTGTTGAGCTTCCTGAGCTGGCCAAAACAGGCCGAAAATTATCATTATTTTTCATCAGCCTGTTTCCACCCAAGAAAATACTCTACTGTAACCCATTGTTCAGTTGTCATACTTGAGGTATTATTCAATCCAAATCCAGAAACTTCACATAAATGATTGTGAGCACAATTTTTGGTCAACTTTTGGAACAGCTCTAGGAACACAGGCAGAATAATGTGGTTGGACCTTAGTAGTCAAAGGGTTAAGCTTTCTTTTTACAATTGGAAGTCTAAAGTTACAATATATATAACCTTTCTTTGTGCTTTTTTTAGATAACTATTATGTACCCGTGTTTGGCTCAGAGGGAGATGCCACACCTCCAAGAATTGGGGAACCGTGGTCTCCAGACTTCCACAGCAAAGGAAAAAGAACTCCATCTTATTCTTCTTCTGGGTTACATAGTCCCGTTGATCCCAGAGTAACTGTTAAGGCATATGCTGGGCCAATGTCACCCAAACAGGTAATTATGTCATGACCAAAGATATATACACCTGATTGAAAAAATGTTGTCGGGTTCAAAAAAAGGTTATATCATCAAAGCTAAGACCAAAGGGGAGCATGGGAAGACAAAATACCACAGCCAAACAACTCTCCAGCGTAAATCTTTGGAGAATGGCTTTGGCATGTTAATCTATGTAGGCTAACCGACTTTGCTCTACTGTGCATTTTTACATGTCTAAATGCAATTATAATACACATTTCAGAGTACCCAAAATCCTTTTCGGTCTTAGGTTCAATGATATGACCTTCTCGAACCCAACAACGTCTTTTCAATTTGGTGTATCCTACCTCATCTTAGAAGCACATTGAGTACAAAAGTTAGGTTTATCACATGGCAGCCATGTTTGTTCTCATGAAAATAAAAAAAGTTGTTTAACTCATATAACTTATTCTCAAGCACTTAAATGCAAGGCCACCCATGCTGGAATCAAACTGCATGGAATCATGGAATCATGTTGCAAATCACTAGCGTTCTTACGGCAACTACGGCATACTAACTTGAATTACAAATAATTTATCGGACTTACGAAATTTTGTTGTCAACTTTTTTCCTTTTCATTATTTTTTTGTTGTTCTTGGATTTATACTATGAAATATTGTTAAACTTCTTATTAAATAAGTGATAATAGAGACTAGGGGCGTCATGGTTTACGCTGGGGGCGTCATGGTAGTACAGACTGGGGGCGTTATGGTATATGTGGGGGCGTCATAACTGGGGGCGTCATGACAAGGGGGCGTCATGACCGTAAACCATATGAAAAAGGCCCACGTAAAGAGTGTGGAACTTGAATGTTAGCAATGTTCTGAAATCCCACAGACTTTTAATGGCATTTATGGATAAGCTAGAGTGCAAACACTAAAGCAATATGCAATACTTTAAATTATTTAGCTCTAGATAGCACTAATTAATAAAGAAATAAAAAACGTGTACGCATGCTGTGTGCAGTTGTAAAGCACGCAGGGATTGGCAGAACACAAGAGAAGTGTTAGGAGAAGCAAAACTCGTAGCATCCACCCACACAGCATAGCAAGAAAGTTTTTTATTTCTTTTATACAATACAAATTACATGAATGACCAAACTGAAAGTGCAAGCGCATTCTGTGTGGTCTCATAAAGCTTGCACTCCCAACCAATCAGAGTGTGAGATTTAGAACAGTTATTTTATAAAGCTGAATAGAAAACAATACAATTAGCATAATTAATTAGACTAAACCTGGTCTAAAGCTGATCTGTGTTCATTAAAAAGATGGTCTGTTGTTTTTTTCTCCTTTTCACAAGTAAAAGGACACATATATTACATCATGTTTTTGCAAATGTTGTAAATATTTTTGACCATTTGTTACAGGCATTTGACTTCCACCTTAAATGGAAGACCCCGCCATCCAACCCAGAAGAGAGAAGAAAATATGCGGACATCAAGAGAGGTGACTGCACACGTGGTTTGGAAAGAATTGGAAGGTACAGAAAAACTATCGTAAAAGATTGTTGAACGTATGGATTATGCATTTTTTATACATTCAAACATCTGCCATCTCGTTTTTAAATATAGTAACAAAATTGCTGAATAACCGGTATTTAAAAATTCATACCTTTGGATCAATGCATGCAATATTCCTTTGGATTGTAGTTTTGAGATTCTCTCATCAAGAACTTTCATAGTTTAAAGTTTAATTTTTCGTAACATGTTGATGAGGTCATTTTCCTGCCAAAATGGAAGACATCCGAAAATCTAAAAACATACGATTTCTGGGAATATTTCTTTCTTCTTTTGGCCAAATTTAATTATCTTGGGTTTAGAACCAGAAAAATGCTACAGCACGAACCCAGGTTCCTTTCAAAATTTTCAATGAGCATCCCACCCCTTCTATATATATAGTCCGTCCCGGGGCATAATTGTTGGGTGATGGTGATGGTGATGGTGATGGTGATGGTGATGGTGATGGTGATGGTGATGGTGATGGTGATGGTGATGGTGATGGTGATGGTGATGGTGGAAATGGGTAACTTTTGTTCCAGCAGTTTCACTTGGTGAAGGTTTTGAAATAATCTGGACCTCATCCATGGCGCTCTTTTTTTGGGCCATGGTATGATCAGTATGGTTTCAGACTCTTCAAAGGTGAAGTCAGTTCACGTCTGCTTTTGTCACCTAAGATACCCCTTCCCTACCATCATTATTACCTATGAACTTCACAAAAGACACTCTTTGAAAACAGGTTTGTTTTTTTTTTCAAGGAGTCTTGCTCACTCACGAGAAATTCCCTGGGTAGAATACTGGGATTTTCTCGGATGCTACATTGATCTAGCTACACCTTCCGGCTTGGAAGTTCTCGAACAATATTTTTCCTCCAAACTAAGTAAAGTCGTTTCTGAAAATGTATCACCTACACCAAGCAAACAAGTTACAATTACAAACTCCTATTCTACTCCGGCTACTGGTAAAAGTGATGTCAATGATGTTTTTTTAAGTGATACTGAAGAAAGTCCACTAAATATGACGAAAAGAATTGCTATTCCTGATGACACCTCGCCAACATTTCAACAGCAGAGAACAACCAATGTAAACACAAAATCTCCATTATCACCACAAACAGATATAAATAGCGTGTCACAGGGAGAAGATGAGGTTAGTGACAAAACAGAATCACTGACTCTTGACTTTAAGAAACTTTTCGTCAGCCCAGACAGCAAGGAAGAAGAACTTACAAATGCTTCCTTGTCTGAAACACCAAATATGAAAACCTCGTTAAAGTCGCCTGGTGATGACAAGGGGGAAAAGGATTTCATCTTGTGTAAGAAAAATCTTTTTGACGAGTTAAACAAGGCGAATGAAGTGGATCTAGTCGATATGAGAATACAAACACACTACGTTAGGAAGTCTAGTGAGGAAGACCTAGAAATATCGTGCAAAGAAAAGGACAAATTGATGCCGCCAACTGTAGACCCAAAGCATCTAGAAAACACAGCAAATGTTAAAAACAGTAGTATCTCACCGGTAGAATCACCTGAAGACGTGCTGTCAAAACAAGTTGAGAGACTTCAAATTGATTCTACTGAAAACGAAAATACCTCAAGTCTAAAAAATGAAGCTTCTCTCAAAACGTCATCCACTTCTTCAGCGAATAACGCCAAGGGATCGCAATCTAGTTCTAATTTTGGCAGTCCAGAGGAATGTAAGTCCTTATCATTGCCAGATGGAGGACGTTCTGCGACTAACCAAGGCAGACAAAAGAAAATGGTGATTTTTATCCAGGGGTAAGTTCTGACCGTCGATTATAATATGAACCTTGCCCTCGAACTTTTTTAAATCTAGTATTTTTTTTTCTAATTTCCAGTTTTTACCCCAGTAAGCTTGACTTAGATGTACTACGAGCACTTAATGGCGTGACCATTTTTTGTGACAAATATCCACATGTGTCACGATGGCGTGACTTGGTCATGTCGTACTCATCCACTGTCAGAGAGAGGTAAATGTTTTTACTAATTTATATCGATCGTACCTGCGTAGTTTGGTTTTTTCGAAAAGAGATGACCAGCCAACATAGATCCATCGTCCAACACGGAGAGAGAGAGAGACCTTACCGTGCGGCGCAGTCGCTTTAATAGCCGCAATGCTTGTTGTACCTTATAAAACGTTTGATTCAACCGGAGATTGTTCTAAAGAATCTAATGAAACAAAGAACTAGGAGTACTTGCAGACACACCTTATCAAATCTAATTTACAATAATTCATTCAATCAACCAATTAATTAGCTTTATTTAAGGAGGGTATACGTAACACGTAACAATTTTCACTGACAAGTCTGTGGCCCTCCATGTTACAATGAACTTATTAGGTGTTCTATGTTTTTTGAATTTACCTCGTGCTCTATTACTATTTTTCAATACCCTGATAATGGAGAATTATCTCCGAAAGCTTGGTTAAAAATAAAGTATTACGTGGTTGATACAAAACATCTATAATAACCAAGAGAATATGAACTAAGAGAAGGAATCCTACCTATATAGCCTTGTAACCATCATTTGCACAGTTTTGATGCTATTTTTAGCTTGGAGATATTTTGAGCGAAGAACCTGATTGGTTGATTTCTTGAGGGTAGGCGGCTTCCAGTCTTGCAGTAAACAAAAGCCGGTGTTTTTCTCGGGGACGAAACGAAATATGGCGCTTTTCGTTTTCGAAAACGAGGCATTAAAGGGAAGCATTATTATCGCGCGGGTATGGTATCAGCATCAAAGTGTGCACATGATGGGGCGCGGGGATTCCTTCTCTTGGTTCATTTTCTCTTGTTATTACTTATTAGGTATTTCAACATGTCAACCTCCTTTTATTATAAGAATAGTTCAACAGGTGCTTTAAGGTCCCTCTTATATTAATGTTTTGTCCTGTTTTCTTACCTACAGTTGGCCGAGTCCAGGTTCTCCCTTAAACAGGAAAAGACACAAGTCAATGCTAGCGTGGAGCTGTTGATTTTTAATTTATGCTTATTCATCATTTGCGTTTTGAAACAAGACGATACGGTTACTGCAGTTTTCATAAAGATGCGAACTCTAAATCTGCGAGCTGCACGCTGAAATTTAGTTTTTCGCTGCCGTCAATCAAACCTAATCAGTCAGTACCTTTCATATTTTTGGCAATGTATCGGATATAAATCGACCAAAAAATTCAAATTTATCTTTTCTATTCCCTTATTTCGTATAACTGCAGAATGCCCCGCAAATATGCCCGTCGTTAATAGCAACGACTTCTATTGTTGTATGGCTCGTTTTACAAAGAGTTTTGACAACTGCATATCATTTGCGGGTTATTCTGTAGTTGCCCGCTTATTTCCCTTCGTTTTAATCCTGTTACAATTTAAAGATCCATAGCAGCTTTAAAGACCAGAAAATCCTGCCGACCTTCCAGGTACTTTAAGATAACTCTCTAGCCTTTGTCCTTCTACAAGCCGGTGTTTCATGTCCCTACCAGTTCTGCATTGATTATGGATGATATATAAAATAGAACAAGGATTTTTGAATCGAAAATGTCCATATGTCTCTAGCATGTAAATGAAAACATTCTCGGCGCCTGCAAGATTGGGCCTGTAGTTCATTTTCGAAAGTACTTCATCAGGAAGCGGACGTACTAAATGCATAACAAAGGCATCATGAGAACCTCGAAATGGGGTATCACAAAAATCCTCGAGTCCAGGACAAGCCTTCATCTGTTCTCTGTCTTCGTGTCTTGTTAATGCGTAAATCGTTCCTTGCTTCAAAATGTTTGGATCTAGTCGTTCGAATCCCTTCCCAATGTAGATATCAGCATGCATTATAATGCAGGTTTCGAAAAGCAGTTGTTTGGACACGTAAGCCAAGGAGTCGCTATAAAGCAATTGATGACCAATATTCTTCAGTATGATTTTCTGTGCATTTAGTTTGAAGTGATGTTTAATGAATCTCATTGCTTGGTCATCTTCGCAGAGAATGTGAACTCTTTTCACCTAAAATGAACATGCAAGATTTCCTTTAGCCACCCCAAGCAACCAATTAGGACTGAACGGGATTTCAAAGTACTCTTAAATGGATTACTTCCACGATGGGGCGGCCATCTTGCCATGGAGATGACGTGAAATTTCGTTTGTTTGTCTTTCTTTTATGGGCAAAGGGGATCGATGTGCCGCCTTAATTCATCTTTTATTTATTTATTTTTTTTTTTTTGGTATTCTCTTGTGGTGATCTGTTAATACAAATCGACGTCATTGCTGTAAGAAAGCTTCATTTGGCGCCTGGACGACCCATAATGCATTACGATTCAAGATGGCCGCCGCATCGTCCATTGGTTCCAGTCCTCGGCTTAGCCTCGTATTGGAACTATTGTTCGTCGTACTTAGAAATCCCGTCCAGTCCTTATCGTCGTAAAATATGCGGATACGGACACAAAAATTTGCGGACACGTGTGGACGCAACCCGTATCAGCAAAAAAAAATTGCGGAAACAAAAATTTCCGGATACGTGTGGACGGGGCCTTATACACTATAACAAACCTGAAATAGTTAGCTAAAAACGCATGACCCCCAAAAATGTTTGCATAGTTTCATGCAGCACCTCATTTTTGGTTGAACAAAAAGGTATGGCCCCCTCCCCATTTGCACCAGCCTACCCCCCTCTAATAAATGAAATTATGAATAAGAATTTCAAATAGCCTTGCCATTCCAGCATGGGAAGATCGCAAGGAATCTTCAAATCAACAGGTCTGTCTTCTTGTGTTTCACCCCAGTATTTCGTGGAATGTTTACAATTTCACTCTAAAGAGCACCGTAAGACACAAATTTAGAGCCGCCATCTTTTTAACCTTATCGCAAGATTTGGAAGTAAAATCGTCCTACTGACAAATGAAAACACGCCATCTTTGTAAGTTCTCTCCTTGGTACATATCAATTAACATTATCATTGAGTGAATAACGGGGAATATTTACCGAACCGCGAGTCTAATTGTTTTAGTCTTTTTATCACGAGTGAATTTAATAAATAATGGATAACTAAAAGTTTTCTTTTGCCTTTTTTATTCTTTTTTATCTCTAAGTGCGGCACACATCAACAAACAAGCCTACGCGTGCGTATTATATTCACCTCTAGGTGAATCTAGAGCATACTGAGACGTAAATTGTGACCAATGAGCGAGCCGGATTTATTACACATTCACTTGTGTAAAAATACTGATTTTATCTAGTCAAATCCAACTGTGATCTATCATCAATGCTGCATTCTGATTGGATGAGCTACTACTAGGCTATTAGTTATATCCTACTAGTAGCGAAAATTGCCAGCTTTGTAAACCAAAACATTAAATTTAACTTTAATTCAAAACTTGTTAACATCTATATTTTTGACCGACATCTAGTTGAATTTGACTGAGACAATTAGTCCTTTCAACCTCGTGGCCTCTGAGTCAATAGCCCATTCGTGCTCAAGGACTAATTGCTAATTATCCAATATATTTCCAAGGTTTAAGAGAAAAAATTGTGGCTTACCAAAGGATGGGCCAGGTTTATTTGTAACGTCTGGATGTATTCAAGCTGTCTTTCACGTACAAATGCCGTATCATTCGATGATGCATTTGATAACAAAGGAAATTGGATGACAAGGTGTAGAAAACCGATGTTACTGGTCGGCCGTGTGCCTTTTACACCGCGGAGAATCGTGTCAGTCTTGACTAAAGCCAATGAATGTGAACTATTCGTTTGGTGTCCTGAAACAGAACGGTAATTATATGCATGTTAACTTGTTATTTCCAAAGAAACAAGCAGTATAGTTTTTTTGCGGACTGTCAATCAATACCATTATGTTTCCAAGTGTTTTAGAGAGGGCGGAACTAGCTTATCACGTATGCTCTATTCAGTTGACTTTTGTAATTCAAGGTTAACAGGGTAAGAAATTTGTATAGATTGTGTACAGACCTTTGGCCGGCGTCAGGGCAGAAAAACGGTTTTTGGCCTTTCGCCATAAGGACAGCTTTACACATTTAAGCTCATATTTTGTAAACACGTTCTTTTGGAGCCAAATAGCAAAATATCAAATGCGACCAAAATTTATTGAATGTGTATTTGAGATATAAGGCCGTGTGCTTTGGGAGAGGTGATTTAACTCTAATTTTACTCTAATTCGACAAAACTTCGTCACAAGATTCGAGCAGCAGTGACACAAATGAAACGCTTAAACATTTGGAGTATTAGACTCGGTTAAATTTTTAAAAATCGTGAAAGTAGCGGGCTTGTCGTTTTTCTGCCCTGTCTTGGCCGGCATCCTCAAAACAAAACGAGTTATTTTTCCAGATCTTCAACAACAAAGCACAACCTTCAAGGAATGCCAAGTGCTTATTCTTAGAGGATTTTTCAACCATTTTGATAGTCTCTCAAGAGATTTCCCAGCAGAATGTAATGTCATTAACCGTTTTAGTCTCGTTCCATTCCTCTACGGTCCACTTCTCTCCACTTCACTTCTCTCGTTTTTCTATGTGTTCGTATTGATTTATTACTCTCTTTCATACAAAAGATAACACTCACTTGAGCTTTTATTCCTTCCGATGTGGGTTTTTGGATAATAATAATAATAATAATAATAATAATAATAATAATAACGCTTTAACAAAAAAATAAAATTACAAAAAATTACAAGCAAAAAGCAAGTTTAAATAAATAAGTTTTCAAAGAAGACTTGAAAGAAGAAATGTCTTGAATGTCTCTTAGCGAAGTGGGTAGAGAGTTCCAAAGGAGAGGAGCAGCAACAGAGAAGGATCGAAGACCATRTGACTTTAAGTTATATGAACATGAAGACAGTGACAGATAAGACGATGAACGTAGATTTCTTGATGGATGATGGATGGAGATGAGATCTTGGATGTAAACCGGAAAAATTCCATGAAGTGCTTTAAAGGTCAAAAGAATTATTTTAAACTTGATTCGATGAGATACAGGAAGCCAGTGTAGATCAATCAGAACTGGTGTGATATGGTCTGA